ATTCTGGGTCATGCACTTAATCACCGCCAGTTCCAGGGTTTTCTTGAAGAAATTGATTCTGAATTCAGTGACCTGCCTTATCACACAGCAGTGAGATGGCTCAGATGCAGTAAAGTTCTGTTTCGTTTTTATAAGCTCCGAAGAGAAATAAATATTTTTTTTACCGAAAAGGATAGAGCTGATCCACTTCTGTCAGATCCTACCTGGCTGTCAAAGTTGTCATTTTTGGTTGACATCACATCCCACATGAATGAATTGAATTATCAAATGATTTTGGAGAAAGCTATCATTGTTTGAAGCACAACTGGAAGGAGGAAACTATTCTCCAAATTTTCAGTGTTTCAAAGAGTTTCGCGCTGGAATTGCAGAAGATGTCAACCTCGAGTTTCCGAAGAAGATTATTAGTGACTTAAATAAGCATTTTTGGGAAAGATTTTCAGATCTCGACAGAATTGAGAGTGACATTTTTCTGTTCCAGAATCCGTTTGATTGTAACCTTGATGATGTTCCAGTCGAACTACAGTTGGAGCTCATTGATTTGCAAGCAAATGACTTGTTGAAAGAGAAGCACATACTGGCCGTCTCAAAGCCCGTTTAACTTTGGAGTTTGTCCTTTCTTGGAGTGTGGATTGTCACATTAATGGAATCCAGTCTTATTAGCATTAATATCATAGTGACCATTCATTTTGTCACTGGCTGATTTAGATCTTTCACAGGTAAATTCATGTATGCTATCAATAGTGTTACTTCTCCTTGCACATTCATTGTAATATGTTGCTGATTAACTATCCTCCGAATGTAAGTGTAGAAGATCTAATGGCATTTTGAGTTTTCTCCCAAGCATTAGTGATGATGAAATGTCGCCTGTGGCTTCATGTACTGCTGTTTGATAACTTTTAATTAACAATGTAAGAACATAATCCTACATTTTCTGCTTTTAATCTAGTTTAAAGTTAACTGATTTAAAAGTATATTGTTGTATTTCTCCACCATAGTATCGGATGATAAATGAAGAGCTGTTGTTCTGGTTCAAAGATTTGACACAATTATGCAAACATGGCTAATCTGAAGTTTCGTCTTAGATCTGAGTGATGTTTCATAGACGCCCCTAACTAGGAACAGTATATATTTCTGGTTATTTGGGAGGGTAGTCCATCACAACCATGGTGTGTCTATTCCTGTAGTTAGTCTGTGGCAGAGGACAAAGCATATTTACAAAATTTCTTTCAAGTGGTGCTCCAATGGAACACTGCTATAGTTTCCTATGCTCTTTCCTTTGTGTATGTTTTCGCTCACAGCATGGTACACATGAATTACATCAATTCTACGCAGCTCCCTAAAAAACAACCAAATAAAAACGTTCTCTTACTCTCTCAAATGTCTTCTTAATAACTGTGTGCAACCAATAAAAGGTCGCAGAGATACTGGAGTACTTCAGAGTATAAAGAAGTACCATTTGTAGTCGTTGCTCCTGTTCACTAATATCTCCCATTTCTGACATAACAAACTCTCTTGTGAGGATAATATATTCCTCTGTGCCTAGTACATCTTTGTCCTTTGGCAGGACACTCACCAGTTGATGGAATAATTCACACTTCTTGGAATCCAGCTTAAGGTTCTCTTTCCTCAACCATTCCAGAACCTTCCTTATACCTTACAATCATGATCAAAGGCCTTCCCATGTGCACTATATCATCCAAGTAGATGAGTACGACAATGTAGGGTAGTTCAAACAGAGCAAATTCCAATAACCGTTGGAATTACATTCTTTAAGATCCAACTTTGAGAACCATTTCAATCCAAATAGAGCATCCAAGGTAGAATTAACCCTTATGAGTGAGTAACTTCATTCACCTTCCAGTACTCCAACACAGTACAATAGGCGATGCCAAAAGACAAGTACTCAGTTCTATCACTTCTGGTTTCTTAGTGGCTTTTATTTTTTTGAAAGCCTCAGCTCAAGGTGCAATTTGTCAAATTTTCAGGGGGAGATGAAATAGACAAAATACAAAACATCATAGCATAGAATGTGCTACATAGTATAAACAGTTAAGAGAATCACTAAGTTATTTTTTTATCCTGAATCAACATCTTCAGGAACCATACACTTGCCAAATTTGCCATTATGCAGGCAGGCACGGAGAGTCAGCACGGCCCCTTTCTCTCTCTTTTTTTTAACATTTTAAAGAACTTATTAAAAAGGAGATCCTAAATCAGGAGAGCAAAGAGTTCATAAACAAGGCAAAATGATAGCAGCAGTCGTTTTTAGCTCACTGTGTAAGTGTAAAAATGTGCTGTTACGACAGCGAAAGTCACGTGACGCTGGTAACACGTCATGATATTCTTGAAGGATCTAGTCTGTTCTAAGGCGCCCTCTTTTTTAGTATATAAGCCCGCCAAATAAAGCAGAATTCATAGATAGAGAGATAACCGAGTCAAGCCGTAAGAAAAATGTGTGAATCCCTGTGAATTATAGCGTGTTTTTATAAAAGTAGTTAAGTTAAACTGACTATGGAAATTCTGTGTATTATA